AAACTTAATAAATATTTATAGAGCTCTCCACTTCAAATACACAAAATATACATTCTTGTCAATACCACATCACACCTACTCATAGGTTTAAATGAAACATTGATTGGCCATTATTAATACCCATTTGTTTTTTCAAAATACAGCAATATTTTTGTTCACGCTCCCTCTTTCTCTTCCTCTTTCTTTTTCTCCTTTACTAATTTTTTATTCTCTCAAAAAAAAGAAAAAAAAAAGAAATCAACTTGTAAACCTCTAGATCCAGGTCGGCAATGTCTCTCTCATTGCTTGAATTCCTTCCTTCCCTTTCCTCCCTTTCTCCCTCCCTCCCTCCCTCCCCCATTTCTCCCTTCCTTCCCTCCATCTTTTCCTTCCTCCCTCCCTTCCTCCTTTCCTCCCTTTCTGCCTTCCTCCCTTCCTCCTTCCCTCCCTTCCTGCCTTCCTTTCTTCCTTCCCAAAAATATTAAAAAATAAAAAATATATAAGAAAATGTTTTATTTAATAATTTATTCAACACTTATGATTATTATAATCTTAGGGAAATCATTATGCTCTTAACCATTTAGTACAACAATCAGCAATATTCCAGTGGAGCTATTATGAATATGAATATTTGTCTATTCAAATAATTGTACAAGAAAAAAATAGGTTCGTGTAAGTAGTTCCTTTTTAATTTACTAGTAATTCATTTTTAAAATGCTGAGACTCCAAGTCATTCTTACAAACCATGAAATTAACCAAGTCAGCCACATCTGTTCAGATGTTTTTAAAAAGCTTACTCTAACAGTAGATAGCAACCCAATTTTCACCTTCTCTAAAAAGGAACACAGCACAGTTTAGATACATGTGAAACAGTAAACACACTTTTCTATTAATGAAAACTATAAAATAAATTTTTAAAGAAATGATATTGCCGTATTTTTTTTTAATTATTATACTTTAAGTTCTGGGATATATGTACAGAACATGCAGGTTTGTTACATAAGTATACACGTGCCATGGTGGTTGGCTGCATCCATCACCCCATCATCTACATTAGGTATTTCTCCTAATGCTATCCCTCACCTTCTTCCCCACCCTTCAACAGGCCCCAGTATGTGATGTTTCCCTCCCTGTGTCCATGTGTCCAGGGTGAATATTTACTTCAGTTTCTATTTTCACTTTTATTTAATATCTACCATAAATTATTTTTTAAATTTCAAAAAATAAAAATGGTGACGTTTAATCATGAGAAAAAATCCAAACAAATAAAAAACAGAAACAGACCGACTGAAAAACAATAAAAAAGAGTAAATCTTAGAAACTGAGCGTGACTTTCCCCACTTATGATATGGGGAGAAGTCCTACCTTTTAGGATAACTTAAGGAAACACAAGAAAGAATGTAGCAATGCCTTGAGAAGATAAACTGCTCTCTGAATATAAAGGCTTGCTATTATCCCCAGAGTAAAATGTGTGGGTTATTGTCTTGTATTACTGAGAAGGTTTTAAGATCAAAAAAAAAAAAAAGGATCTTTTTCTTCTTTTCTCTCTTTTTTTATACAATATGCTTTTGGTGATATAAAAAATAATTTTAATATTTCATCTATAAACTCTTGAAAATGAGGAGTGCAGTATTTTTGATTCATAGATAAGAGGAGCCATAGGTACAGGAATTTGTAGTAACCTGGGGAGCCAGATACAGAAAACAGTAGTACATGCCTGCTGTGTGCCTATGATGTTGTTAGTCCCCACAACACAAGGAGACTGAAGGGGATGTAAAAATGTCTTCATTTTATATGTGAGGCAACTGAAACATGAAGTTAGGTAATAACTTGCCCTGTGTCATAGCAATAAAGCCATGAATCTGGGATCCAAATACAATGCTCCCATATTGGAGGACCCATTGCAGATTATTTTACCTGTGCTCAACTTTCCTGTGTGAACTCTAAAGAGATCATGGGGTCCACATGTCCTTTGAATCCCACCTGGGTATGACCAGTGGTTACTTCCACTAGAGGACTAGAGAGAAGAAAAGGGAAGTGAGGGTATTTTTTCCCCTGGCTTTCTCCCAATGGGGTCTCCTCGAGTTTGCTGACCTTTCTGTTAGAGGTCATAGTTTCTCTCAAGTTGGTCCTCCATTTCTCTGTCCTAGATTCTGTTAACTTTTCCTTCTCCTCATTTTTTCAAGCTTAGGGATGGTAACAGCTATGCCAGTGGTTCTCAATGAGTAGTGATTTATTTTATTTTATTTTATTTGTTTTTTTGAGACAGAGTTTCGCTCTTGTTGCCCAGGCTGCAGTACAATGTTGCAATCTCAGCTGACTGCAACGTCTGCCTCCCAGGTTCAAGCGATTCTCTGTGCCTTGGCCTCCTGAGTAGCTGGGATTTTTTTCCTTCCACAAATGACATCTGGCAATGTCTGCAGACATTTTTGATTGTCATAACTGAAAAGGCTATTAGCATCTAGTTCCTGGCATTGGTTCTAAAGTTCTCTCTGTACTTTTCTTAGTGAACTTATCAAATGTCCTGGCTTTAAATACATCCATATAACAATAACGTAATGAAATAATAGATGGTATGAAAACTATGTATTTTTAATATAGTTTGTTATTTTATGAACTTAAATTACAAAAAGAATTAGGAAAATTCTTTGAGAAATTAAACTTTTCAACAATTTGTTAATGATTTAGTATTTTTTATTACAATGATACTGATAGAGAAACTTATCAAAGAGAAGGGCAAAAATTGTATTTGGAGTGATTAAGTGCTAGCTATATGCTATATTATATATTACTGCTTATAATCCCAATTTTGAGTAGAAGCCAGAGACAGATCTAAGACATATTAGGAATAAAGTTGCTGTTTTCTATGAACAGTGTAAATGTTAGTAACACTAACTTTTAGAATGGTAAATGGAAAGGTTGTATACCATAAATAAGTCTCTGGAATGTGCACATCTGGATATTTCACTTACCTAAACTGTTCTATCACATGCATACATCATGCTTTTGTGCTACAAAGATTATGATTTTTAATAGGGTGCTATGTCTTAGCAGATTCTTTAAAGAAAGTGTCTGACAAAGCCTTTACTTCTTGAGAAGGTTCTCTCAAGACATCAAAGGGCCTTCGAGCCAGCTAAAAGTAATCCAATAAAGGTGAATTTTTCTCTGAATACTTATGTCTGTTGGAGCTTGAATCTAGTAAAGTTTAGAGAGGCCACAAAAGATATCGTAAGGATTCAGTCATACTACTACTTAGTTCCTCAGCCATAGAAACCACTGGGTTCTTGATCCAAATTTCTTGACTTGGAACCTATATGTCGATACTTGTGAATCAGTAATGGAAAGGAAGAAGAGATTCTGTATATCCACTTATAGAGGCAACAGCAGTGTTGCATCATTAGTGTGTGGTGTTAAATAGAGTGCAGTATATTTGGTAACCTTCAAGAGACCAAGGATATCTTGTTTACTTTTGGATATTCATCATCTAGCAAGGCCTGGCTAATAATTACTGTTCAAAAAGTATTTGTCGAAGAACTGACTGAATGAATGAATGTATTAGAAATATTTTATGTGTATTAAAAATATCACTGGTTCAACTAGATTTTAGCAAGTCTCCTCTTGAATATATTAGTCTTTTTTGATGGTAATGTTGGTGGTTTAACATAGCAGCTTACATTATTTTACTAGGAACTAAGAGAACCACTTCTATAGGATAATAACCATACCAAATTTAATTTTAAAATCTAGTTATTCTTTAGTAGTGGATTACAGAAATTATGCAGAACTTCAGTAAAACATTTTCTAACAAAAGAATGCTAATAAATGATAAGGTATGCTCCCCACACAAAGAGTGGTCATAAGTTATAAAGATGTGATTATGATTAGAAGGTTCATTTGGTGGAAAGTTGTTAGAAAAGGTGATTAGCACAGAGCAGAAAGGAGAGTGCTCCCCAGCACTGATGTGTCAGACATATGCCAACCAGATAGAAAATTTTTTTACTCTCAATATCAGGACCATTTAAGTAGTATGGCTTATACTTAATGCAAATCATAGACTTTTTGTGTTTTGCTGCTTTGTTTTTTTTTTAATTTCAGATTTGATTAGATAAATTTGTAAGTTAACCAACCTTTCTTTTTTTTCCTTTTTTTTTGAGGCGGAGTTTCACTCTTATTGCCCAGGCTGGAGTGCAGTGGTGTGGTCTCGGCTCATCACAACCCCTGCCACCTGGGTTCAAGCGATTCTCCTGCCTCAGCCTCCTCCTGAGTAGCTGGGATTACAGGCATGCACCACCACGCCCGGCTAATTTTTATTTTTAGTAGAGGTGGGGTTTCTCCATGTTGGTAAGAATGGTCTTGAATTCCAGACCTCAGGTGATCTGCCCACCTTGGCCTCCCAAAGTCCTGGGATTATAGGTGAAAGCCGCCATGCCAGGCCAAGTTGGACCTTCTTAAGGCTTGTCTGCAGCTTTAGAACTTTACTAGTTCTCATTGCCCTTGGAGCATTCCTAATAATAACTGCAAGCATAATAAATGTATATGTTACTTCTTTTTGCTCAAGAGACTACAGAAGGGCCTTATATTGCTATTCCTGTATCTCTTAGAAATTCTCTGAACACAATATTTTTATTCCCTTCCACTTAAAGGCAAATAGTTGAGAGAGCCCAATTTGGCTGTATATATTTTCTTTTACTACACTGTGACTGAATCTAGCTTTGAACCTAAAGTTAGTGTCATTCCTCAGATTTACAATAATCTTAAAGTTCTGTCATCATAAACAAAAATGTTGTACCTTTTTTGTAAGAGTTTTCGCATTCTTAGAGATCCTATGCCTTATGATAACATTTCTGAAATGGCTTTAAATATCTCTGAAACAGAAATATAATTAGTTTTACTTACCTTGCAAACTATTTTGGAATTAAAATTTCTTGTATGAATTTTTTTAGGACCAAATAAGTTAAGAGAGCATTTATGCTGTTTGATTTTAAACTTTTTTCTTGTTTTTTGTGTTTTCCTATTTTCAGCTTTCGAAGAAGTATGGAGTACATGTTTGTGGAGAAGGTGGAGAGTATGAAACTTTCACTTTGGATTGCCCTCTATTTAAGAAGAAAATAATTGTGTAAGATATCATCTCAGAATTTTATTTTTTTCCCCATAAATTTAAGTGATGGAAGCAACTTAACATTAAGCTTGAGGCAACTTTTGTTGGGAAAAATAGAACATGTCCTCTAAGTTCACAAACACTCAATTTGTTTAATACCAGTGAAGTCGTCTGAATACCTAAATCAATACCTGACAAGACGAGGCCTTCATAGAAGGCTATAAAATTTTTAGACATTGCACTTTCGTTTACTTGCTGATTATGGCCTGCAGTAAAACTGGTACCTACACACTGACACTTTTATCCTTTCATGAAGTGTGAATTGCCTGTATTATTTATCTTTCATTACAGCTACATTTGATAAACTGCCACATCAGTAGCCTGTGGGTTCCATTAACTCCATCCTCTTTTTTTCTTTTTCTTGGCTTTAACAAGTTAGAATGGTAATGCTAACCATTTCTCTTCAGTTATTTGGGGCTATTTTTACATATAAACTTTGTTTTTAAATGAATTCAGTTGATGGTGAGTGGTGTGATTTCTTTGCCATAAATTTTTGAAATCAGTGTAGTGAAAAACAGAAACTTTCTTCAGTTTGTTACCTTATTATCCATGCTCTAATTTATGTTGCTCTTTTCATGTGCTATGAGAACACTTTATCTTCTTTTCTTAAACCTTTATGCCTCATGGAAAAGATTGTCAGAATTATGCTTGTTTGAATGGAAAGCTTCAATATTTCTACCACTACACCTAACCTCTTTATACATGTTAATATACATGGGGAAGGAGTGATCTAAGAAAATTAAGACAACAACCATAGGTGGATTTTCTTAAAAATGCATTTATTTTGAAAAATATGGCAAGACTTTTTCATTACCATATGAAATATTGATGCACTCTTCTTTCATATTCTTTTAATTTCTTTTCCATTAATAATCAACATAATCATTATTTACTTGACAAACACTCATCAAGTACTTTGTACGTCCAAAGCGTTCTCCTGGGTACCACTGATTTCAAAGGGGTGGAAAAAGACATCTGTGTGTAATTGCGATACAAGCTGGTAACAAAAAAATAATTCATAAGTTTATTTATGGGAGATGACATATCTCTTCTGACCATGATGATCACAGAACAGTGAACCAAGTATTGATAAGTTATTACTTCTATGAAATAATAGTTTGATTATTCAAGAAAAACATTGGCATGCTAGGGTGAAATTAGAGTAGAAATTTTGGGATATATTTACTTATTATTATGGGACCAACCAAATTAGAAAAAAAAAAACAGCAATAAGAGAAAAACATGCCAAAGGATAATGCTTTCCCCATTTTCCAGACAAATTGAGGTCCTAGAGCAGCTGCAAGTCTTTATGGACAATGTGGAATTTTAAGACATATACTGCTTTACTCTACATAACCAGAAGATCTGTTTATCGTAGTTCTTTAGACCTTAAATATGAATCCTTTTCAATCTCCTCATTTTGTAGACAAGGAAACCTAAGCCTGACAGAGACAGTGGCATGAAGGGAATTACTCATGCTTTTAAAGAGAAGATGTCAGGGAAGGTGGTTAGAACCCTCTAGTACTAACATGAGCTGTTCAGTGCAAAATGTGAGTACAACTCTGCAATGCTGCCCTGCTCTGTAGGGAGTGCTTCCTGTAACCTAAGAGATGGACAGGCAAATCAACAATAAGTGGTAAGTGCTACCATGTAGGCATGTACCTTGTTAACACAAAGGAAGCCCTGTCTTTTCATTCTTACTCATTTATGAGTGAATCACCAATCTAATTCTGATGCTTAAGCATATTCTTTGCTTTTTTTTCTTCATAGGCTATGCCTCACTTCAGCTTCATACTTTTCTTTTGTGATGCCTTTTCTCTAGATTTCCTTCTCATTTCTTACCACTTTGCTAAATCCTTTCATTTTTATAGGCTTTGGCTGCCATTGCCTCCAGTGCTTGTTCTCATACCTGTCAGAGCATGCATTAGGGCTCTGTGCTAAATACTGTTGGATTAATTTTTCATTTGCCCTTTTTTATTTTTGTTTACATATCATGTTTCACACACTTTTACATATTCCTTTCTTAGGTTATAACTTGAAGTTACAGTTGGGAAATATCGTCATTTGGTAGAAAAAGGATATCACTTAATGTAAACAAAATCTCCCGTCCTCTTTAAAATTGAAATTTCCTAAGTATACCTGCCTAATATACACTAAATATGAAGATGTGAGTGGACATGTTTTGTGCATTATAAAACTGTATGTAAATTAAAGTTTTATTATTTAGATATAATCATCTGTATAATACAATTAAAAGATGAGCTTAATTCCTATAATTGTTTTTTAACAATTGACTCTTAATAATTCTGGATCCAATCATTTAGAATTCATTTTGGGGACAAAGTTAATAACTTTTATTATATTTGATGTAATAGTGGTCTGCCACAATTAGCATGCAACTAATCATTTACTTGGAATCCCATTTCAAATGTCTGATTCAAATTTTATTTTTTGTAAAAAAAAAGTAGACTACCTCTAAGGTGACAAAAAATAAACTTTTACAAGCAAAATTATTTGATTATAATTAGAGATCTTTAAAACAGGATTGAATCTTTTTTGTATAATGGAGTAATTTAGAGAGATCAGGGTAGTTCTGGAAGTTTATTATGCCAGGGTGCTGTGGCTCACACCTGTAATCACAACACTTTGAGAGGCCAGAGCAAGAAGATCACTTGAAACCAGCAGTTCAAGGCTGCAGTCAGCTATAATTGCACCACTGAACTCCATCCTGGGCAACATTGCAAGACCCTGTCTATAAAAAAAAATATGAATAACAGTAATAAAAAATAATAAATAAATAGAAGTTTATTGTGAAATACCTTTTGGCCAAATTCCAGTTCACATTTTAAAATGTTTTTAGAAAAGACTGGTATAACAGTCTTTGTTGGAAGTAATTTTTTATATTTCTACCTAGAATCGTTTACAATTCACTTTTTGTATCTATTAATATATGAAGTCACTCACCTCTAGATACAAATTTTGAAATGAGAAAATGAGGTTTTCTTCCCATAGAAGCCCCCTGGGAAGAATTATAGCCTAGCTTTTAAGAGACAAGGATAATTGTAGGTCCTCAAAGTAAAAACCTGCTTTCTTATTATTTACTTTATATATATATTATTTGAATAACTAAAATTTTAAAGTTGTGTTAATGAAAGAAATCATTTTCTTGTTTCTGTTCATGAATACATTTTTATGTCAGTATTTGAGATAATTCTATAGTTCTATTTGAATCATTAGTATATTATTGCTACAAAGTTGCTACTTATGTGATGGATGGATGATGGATGGATGGGTGGATGGAAGAATAAGAATGAAAAAAAGAATAAAGGAAGAACCAAATCCTATGGTTAAAATACTGTATCCTCATTTTCATCCCCACCTACTCATATTTTCTGCCCACTTAAGGCATAACTATAACTAGTACAGAACACTGTAATACAGAGTATCAGAATGAGGAAGAAGCAAGTACTCTACCTTAATTGCCTTCTTACATTGATTCTGTATCATCTGAGATTATTTAAATTTATGAACCATTTCCTTACATTTAAATTCTCTGACATATTAATCTTTATTTTTGTTGTGCTAGAGATATCATATAGTGCTATTGGTATATATGTGCATACATGAATATGTTTATATATGCAATATGTATGTATAAGAAAGTGTGTACAGTTGTGAGAGACTTCATGTGGAAACATTCTGAGAAATGCATTGTTTGGCAATTTTGTCATTTTGTAAGCACCAGAGATACACCTAGGCTATATGCTCCTAGGCTACAAACCTGGACAGCATATTACTGTACTTGAGACTATGATTAACTGTAACAAAGTGGTGATATTTGTATATCTAAATGTATCTCAACATAGAAAAGGTACAGTAAAAATATGATATAAAAAAAATTTTAAATGATACACCTGTATAGGGCACTTACCATGAATGGAGCTTGCAGGACTGGAAGTTGCTATGGGTGATTCAGTGAATGAGTGGTGAGTAAATGTGAAGGTGTAGGACATTACTGTATACTTTAAAAACACTGTATTCTTAATCTACACTAAGTTCATTTTAAAAATTAAATTGTGCTACAACATTATGACAGCTATGATGTCACAAAGTGATAGGAATTTTTCAGCTCCATTATAATCTAAGGGCACCACCCTAATACACAGTCGGGTTTTAACCAAAAATGGCATCATGTGGCACTGACTATATTACATATAGATAGGTAATTTAAAAATCATTGTTGAGTTTCTAATCGTTTCACTAATTGGTATGTAATTGTGAGGATACTTATTAAGTTTAACTGTACATTTATTTATTCAACAAATATCTAATAAATACCAGGCAATGTACTTTTTACAGAGCTCAGGGCAGGGTAGAACAGGGACAGGCAGACAAAGATGAAAAAAATTGTTTCCTCTCTCAGAAGAAAGGCACACAAACATGTAATTGTAATGTAGTGGTTGTGTTATGAAAGGACTATAAATGTGATACAAAGCACATAGAGGAGAAAACTAGCACCATCTGAGGATGTCAGGGAAGGCCTCATGGAAGTAACATTTGAGATGTCTGTGAGAATAAGTATGAGTCCATGGAGAATATCTGTATACCTTTTAGTGAACATAGAAACCATATGTTTGAGCAAGAGAGGTTAACAGTGGTTCAGTCCCAGCCTAGCATAGTTGTCCTTTTAGAGGAGAGGTGGGGACCAAGACCATGGCTGAGTCTCAAGAGGGAATACCAGTTTTTTTGTTTTTGAGGTGGGAGGTAGGGCCTGATTCCACACCTCAGGAGTCTGATATCAAGGAAGAGAGGTCCAAGCCAAACCTAGCTGCCCTTTTGGTGTTGTTAAGTAAAGGTGAGCCTACTGTAGTAATTAAAGAGAACATGAGCATGCTCTTGGCTGTGGAAAAGACACAGCTATATGACAGGTGGTAACTGCTGTACCGATTACTTATATTAATGGAGAAAGGAGAGGAGGACAGCCAGCTGGGAAGCATTTTTGCTGTAGCAAAATGGTCTTAATTTTCTGGATTAATCAGAGAATATTCTGACAGATTCTGCTTTTAGGGTTCAGGGAAACCTGTGAAGCAGAGACCAGAGTTCCTTGAAATTTGAATGTCAGGTGGTGGTATATGAGAGAGAAGAGCAATAGTGAGTGGTATTATTCTGCTCGAAACTAAGGGCTGTTGATTTGAAATCCAGTCTCTCCCAGTTGACTCTTGCTTTGTATAAGTGAATGAAATGATGTTAGTCAATAAGAGATTATGAATTTAATAGAATTCATAAAAATCACCGTCTTTATTTAGTGCTCAGAATGTCATATATTCTCTCTGGATAACAATCTTGACTCAAATCATTTAAACTATTTGCTGTCATCCCTCTGTTTCTAGTGGGATTAATTGACATGAGAAGGGAGGGCCTAAAATCCTTTCTACTGAGATAATATTAGTTCAGATTAATTATACTTTTGGCACACCCCATTGTCAATAATATCAAAACCAAACTGCCTGAATTAGATATAGTTAAGGGTCAGGGTCAATTTCCAAGGCTAAGGTCTGGAACAGAGATACTAATAGTAAAATTGTAAATAGAAATTGAGGTTTGACTAAAGAGCCAGGATATGACCAGAGCAGGCAACGGTCGAGGAAATGGAAAAACATTAAGACTAGGGTTAACAAACCAAGTTGGGGTCAAGCCAGAGGGACAGGTGGTAGCAAGCAGAAGGGCCTCCTCTGTACTTTCTGTTTCTGCTGCCACTCCTCATCATACCTGGAGGCATCTTTGGTTGATGTAGACTGTGAAGGCAAATTATCTTTCCATCAGGATTCTGAATCTTTAATCATTCTATGTCTCTTATAAGTTGCCTTCCTTTTAATGTTGTGGAAGCCTGTTTAATGTTTTTTTTTTTTAAGCATTAGAAAGATGCGTATTTGATACTAAAGGTTTATGAATGATAATTGGGGTTTTTTTAATCATTAAATTGACTTTTTTTGATCTTTCAAGTGGAAGGTAAACATTTTGCTTAATTAATTAATAATTTGGAGCCAAATATTTTGAGATTTCTTCTGTTGCCACCCAGTTACTTTGCATGATACAAGTTGATTCAAAAATATTTTTATATTAGTCACAAAAAGTCAATGTCAGGATTTATTTTGCTATGCTATAATAGTCAAAATGCTGTCTATTTAAATAATAGAAGTACCTCCCAAGGCATTAAAGAGATATGAGGAATTTCCATTTTTAAATTTTCACTTGAAATTCAAAACATTATTACTCTCTTAATAAACAATAAAAATCATTAGTTTTTTGAACTTTACACATAATCTTAGTTATTCGTATGTGCTTTACAGGGTATCTTTGATAAAAGTTGAGTTAATTTACATGTATCCATATGGTGCCAGCATGCAGTTCATACCATTTTACCTGAATGTGGTAATTACTATGTCAGACAATCAATTTTAATAGCAATGATACTGCAGTGTGAAGAGTTCATCTAGAGCCTAAAACCGTCACCAGTACTGCTTTCATGAAAGATAATTGAGATTTTGTGTGAAACATTGAATGAATTACCTCTTGAAAATGAAAAGAATAATGAAGATAAAGCACTAATGTTTAATGCTTAGCCTATACCAAGCAAATATGTGGAAATGAAATTGAACAGAAATTTAAGTCTTAACACTGTTTAGAGAGCTTTGAGTGAACCTGAAAGTTGAACTCTTATGTTTTTATGAAAATAGAAAGCTTCATTGTTTTTTCTTAAAAGTTTAGTATTCTTGAACCTTTTACCAATTAAATACTGGAATATTAAAAATATGTATTAGTCACTACATGTTGTATACCAATGGAAATCAATATAAAATAAGAATTGTCAGTCTTATTTAGTCAGTAGAAGGAGTGATTTATCATAGTTTATGTAGCATATAAATGTATTATAAAATTTTTTTCTTTCAGGGATTCATCAGAAGTAATCATACATTCAGCTGATGCATTTGCACCTGTGGCTTATCTACGCTTTTTAGAATTGCACTTGGAGGACAAGGCAAGTAAATATAAGATTCACAGTGATTTCATTGGAAAATTAAGATATATGCATTGGCTCTGCATATATAATTCTGTAACAACAGATAACAGGAAAAAGAAAATTGATTTTATCATTAGGGATTTTTTTCAGCTTCTGTCAATAATGGAGAATTTTACCAATGTTTATAATTTTGAGAGTTCTATATGATACAGAAGATACTACATTCATGAAAAGTTTGCAGGTCTGTTAAAAAGGGAATAATATACACATTAAACAATGAGAGGACAATATAAAACCAACTATTAAATCATCTAGCAGGATCACAGTTAAGTTACTATACATAAGCATTACGGGAAGGGTGTGAGGATGAATTGGATCTTCGTTATTCAAAGCTTAAGAGGAGAAAAGGAGAAATGAAACCTTTACAAAAATATCCAAGGAAACAGAAGCACAAATAGAAGATGGAAAGTGAAGCCAAATTACAGTGAAGAGTTTTATTTCAAATACACTGTCAAGATACAGTAAAATTTTAATTTAAAGTTGTCATGTGGAATAAAGTTCTGGATTAGAGTCCTTGATTAAGAGGTCTGATCCTTCAGATGTTGCTTTATATTAATTACCATAAAAATGATAGCTGAAATTATGTGAAGAAATGAGTGTAGTGACAGAAAAGGATTAGAAAAAGTCTTATGTATCTTTATTGTTCTTTTCCCCAAATCTTGAGGCACACCCACAGTTATATATTTTATGTCAAAGGGAATATGAAAGAGTAAGAGAATTAACAAGAATTCAGCAAAAGTAGGAAAAGAATGGTAATGCCAAAAATCTCAAGATGAGAGGGTTTCTACAGGAGAGGATAATTATTGGTGCCAGTTCTCCAGAAAAATGACAGTGGGCAGGATTGAAAATATGTTTTAGAATTGGGCTGGATGATGACTATTGGTGATCTTTTATCAAAAAGCTGGGGGTTCTCACAGTAATTCAGTTACACTATCCAAACATTTTTTCAGATTCACTTGAACCCCTTACTTGTAGTTTTCTGTTACTTTTGCTACCATGTACACACACACACACAAAATCAAAAGCACTGAATTCATGGGTAGAGACTCCTGCCATTCTATGCGATAGCTCACTGTTCACCTTGTTGTTTTGGTATTTTATTGGTCTTTGGTATGACACCTCAAAGAATTAATACTGTTACCTGAAATAAGCTGTGAAGATAACAGTTTTTTGGATAACAGTATTACTTATTTAAGGTGTCATATTCACTGACACTGAATAAATATGGTGCATTGTCCTTCTTATTTTTTTTTAGGTGTCCTCAGTGCCTGATAACTACAGAACATCTAATTATATATATAATTTTTGAAAAATGTTTCTGAACATTGCTCATTAAACTACCATTTCTATATTTAAAAAATTACACAGAGTTTTCTTAGTTACTATGACAGGTTTTTTTTCTTGTGACTTATTTTTTAGAAAAATATACTTTCGTTACAAGTTAATGGAACCATTTATTAATTGGGAAAATGTCAATGGCTTGTTGGCTAATAGTGCCAACTTTCTTGGGATTCATTCTTTCTCTTTTGTTAACACATCTTCCCTATGACTTTTCTTTTATTTCATCTACCATCTGTAACCCCCATTTCCATAGCATTTCTTTTTTTTAATCGCACTAGTTTCTTTTCTTTCTTTTCTCTTTCTTTCTCCAATCTCTACCACTAATGTCATGATGCAGAGGCATTTGAAAATGAAGATGAAAAGATGGTCACTTTATTTAGCCAGTCAAGCTTTTTCTACTGGGTGTCACCAAAGTGATTTATCAATTTTATTTGAAATATATTCATAGCTGAAGAGTTTCAACATTCTTGAACAATGTCATTAACTCTTACCAGTTATTTTGTAACTGATTTTTAAAATGCTAATTTTCAGTATTACCTATGTTGACCTTAGAAAACTTTTACTAAAAAGTAGACATTATATTTCAGAACAGTTTTAGGTTCACAACAAAATAGAGTAGAAAATGCAGAGATTTCCCATATGCCCTCTACCTCCACACATTCACAGCCCCCTCTACTGTCAATGTTCCATAATAGAGTGGTACATTTGTTAGAACTGATGAACCTACCTTGACACATTGTAGTCACCCAAAGTCCATAGTTTAGATAAAGATTCACTCTTGGTGTTGTACATAATGTGGGTTTTTACAAATGTATAAGTACAGTATTATGCAGAATAGTTTCACTGCCTTAAAATCCTCTGTGTTTTACTTACTCATCCCTCCCACTCCTTTAACCCTTAGCAACTGATCTTTTTACTATGTGCATAGTTTTGCTTTTACCAAAATGTAATGTAGTTGAAATCATATAGTATATTGCTTTTCAGATTGGCTTCTTTCATGTATTAATATGCATTTATGTTTCTCCATATCTTGTCCTGGATATGTAACTCATTTTTTTTTTTTTAGTGTAGAATAAAATTTTATTGTCTGGTTATACCACATTTCATTTGTCCATGCACCTACTGAAGAACATCTGAGTTGCTTCTGTGTTTTGGCAGTTATGAATAAAGCTACTGTAAACATCCATGAGCAGGTTTTTATCTGAAGATAAGTTTTTAAGTTTTTTTTTGGGGGGGGAAGGAAGGGAGGGAATGAGGAAGGGAGGAAGGCAGGAAGGAAGGGAGGGAGGAAGGAAGGGATGAAGGAAGGGAGGAAGGGGGGAGGGAGGGAGGGAGGGAAGGGAAGGGAAGGGAAGGAAGGAAATCAAGCAATGAGAGAGACATTGCCAACCTGAATCTAGAGGTTTACAAGTTGATTTCTTTTTTTTTTTTTTTTTTGAGAGAAGGAAAGAAAAAAAATGAGTAAAGGAGAGAAAGAAAGAGGAAGAGAAAGAGGGTGAATGAAAATATTGCTTTATTCTGAAAAAAATGGGTATTAATAATGGCCAATCAATGTTTCATTTAAACCTTTGAGTAGGTGTGATGTGGTATTGACAAGAATGTATATTTTGTGTATTTGAAGTGGAGAGCTCTATAAATATTTATTAAGTTTACTTGTTCCAGATCTGAGTTCGAGTCTTTGATATCCTTATTAATTTTCTGTCTCATTGAATCTAAGTCTCTATGTATCTGGGCGTTAGGATCGTTAGCTCTTGTTGTTGCATTGATCCTTTTACCACTATATCTTTGTTGCTTTAAAATCTATTTTATCCACTATGAGAATTGCAACTCCTGCTATTTATTTATTTATTTATTTATTTATGCTCTCCATTTGGTTGGTAAATCTTCCTCCATCCCTTTGTTTTGAGTCTTTGTGTGTCCTTGCATGTGAAACAGGTCTGGATGTAACATGCCGTTGGGTTTTGGCTGTGTCTTTTGATTGGGGGATTTAGTCGATTTAAATTTAGGGTTACCACCATTTGATGTTAACTGGCTGTTTGATCCATTCGTTGATGTAAATTCTTCATGTTAGTGCTCTTTACTTTTTGGTCTGTTTTAGAAAGGCTAATACTGGTTGTTTCTTTCTGTGTGTAATGCCTCTTTCAGAAGCTCTTGTAAAGCAGGCCTGGTGGTAATAAAATCTCTGAGTACTTGCTTGTTCATAAAAGATTTTATTTTTCCTTCAGTTGTGAAGCTTAGTTTGGCTGGATATGAAATCCTGGGCTGAAGGTTCTGTTCTTTGAGGATGTTGAATATTGGCCTCCACTGTCTTCTGGCTTGCAGAGTTTCTGCTGAGAGATCTGCTGTAAGTCTGATAGGCTTGCCATTGCGGGTAACCTGACCTTTCTCTCTTTCTGCCCTTAGTATTTTCTCCTTCATTTCAACCCTGGTGAATCTAACGATTATGTGCCTTGGGGTTGCTCTTCTTGAGTAATATCTTTGTGGTGTTCTCTGTATTACCTGGGGTTGAATATTGACCTGCTTTGCTTGTTTAGGAAAGTTTTCCTGAATAATATCCTGAAGGATATTTTCCAGCTTGGATTCATTCTCTCCGTCGCATTCAGCTACACCTATCAAATGTAAATTTGGTCTTTTCACATAGTCCCACATTTCTTGGAGACTTTGCTCATTCCTTTTTATCCTTTTGTCTCTTATCTTGTCCTCTTGTTTTATTTCATTAAGTTGGACTTTGACCTCTGATATCCTTTCTTCCTCTTGAACAATTCGAGTGTTTAAACCTGTGCATACTTCTCAGAGTTCCTGTATTGTATTCTTCAGTTCCATTAATTCACTTATATTCCTCTCTAAATTGTCTATTCTCAATACGATTTCATCAAACCTTTTTTCAAAGTTCTTAGTTTCTTCACATTGGGCTAAAACATGTTCTTTTAACTCACAGAAGTTTCTTATTATCCATTCCCTGAAGTGCGATTCTGTTATTTGGATGGGCTCATTCTCCATCAAGCCATGTTCCATTGTTGGTGTGGAACTGTGATCTTCTTTGGAGGGAGAGGTGTTCTGATTTTGAGTATTCTCAGCCTTTTTATGCTGGTTTCTTCCCATCATTGTAAATTTATCCTTCTGTCATCTTTGAAATTACCAACTTTCAGATTAGGTCTCTTGAGCGGACGTCCAAGTTGTTAGTTCCCAGGGCCAGAACGGCGGTGTTAAAACTGATGGTGCTTTTCTGCCCAGGATTCTCCTGTCTGGCTTTTTTCTTGTGTTTGTAATAGGCGACTCTGCCTTCCCAGGGCTCCAAACCTCGGTCAGAAGGGGAACCAGTCTCGTTTACTCTGCGCCGACAGCTGCCTCACCGAGGTGCCATCACAACCGCTGCGCCGTCCTCAGGAGTAGTGCTGGGGACCCATGTGGGTTCCCCAAATCTCGGTCAGAAGGGGAGCCAGCCATGTTTACTCTGCTCCGAGAGCTGCCGTGCCGAGGTGCCGGCAAAACCGCTGCGCCGTCCACAAGAGTCATGTTCGCGACCCGTGTGACTCCTCCCCTGGAGATCTTCTGCTCCGTGAGGGACCAGAATTTGAGTGAAAGTGTGGCATTTTCTAGTTCTCTGCGTTTTCACT